CATTTCTTACAAGTTGTGATGAATTTCGTCAGAATTTGCTGTTGAGCGATTTGAATCCATGGAAGGTTGGAACAAGTTTGAAATACTTTGGCTTTTGCTGCTATTGCCATACTGCACGTGTTTCCATAGGTTGTCAAGAAGATGCCAGGAAAATTAGGCAGAGAGAAAGGCCAACATCTTCGACCATTTTTGCTAACGGTACTGGCCAACACATTGTTTGCACAGGAGAAAGTGGAGTTTGAGGAGAAAATTCAAGCGTCTGATAATAGGTATAGCCTTATTCAATCATATGTCTTTAGGTGTTCAGTGCTTTGTAAGCTCCTATATTCCAGCAGCTTATCGTCTATGAGTATGGCAGCCGATTATTGTCATACATTCTACAATCCACTTTTTGGAAATAATTGCCAAGGATGTCGTGTTGCTGAGGAAAATAATGATGTCATACAAATGTGGACAAGGTAACTGCTGCTGTCATTTCAAAATGAAGCCAAGTATAGAGGACTTACAGAAGCTTAACTGATGGACTTTCGTTGCTCTTTTTTACGACCATGGCTGGCACATCGCAGTTAATTTTGGATATCTTGGCTAGTATCAGGTAAGCCTTAACTCTTTCATTTGTCAGTGTTCTTCCAAATCTTTGTGTATGGGAATCTAATGAAACATTTGAAGTGGAGATTCCTTGTTAAGTATTGTAATTTAAATGAAAAGCCTTCTTTGTAGTAGAAAAATTTTACTGAAGAAAAACGGAAATTAGGAAAGTTCACATGTCAATATTTTAGTGCTCCCATGAACTCTGGGTAATCCGACATTTTTATAGAATGCTTTGTCGAAATACTATTGATAGTCTGATGAAACATTTGCTGAGAAGAATGTTCGATTCCATACTCAATGAGCGAAATTTCGTAATGTTTCTTCATTTCATACAAACTGCTATCTTCCTTTCTGACGGATCGGTACCCTCTGATCAGGTAAACTAAGCAATTAAATGCATCCTCCAGTTACGCTCACTATGTTGTTAGGAGAAAAATCTACGCGAGGAATTGGCGATTAGACGAGTTTTGGAATTTGCGCAGGAAGAGGTAATTTAGTTCTAGAGTTAAAATAGTT